TTTTGTAAGAGGCTGTTAAGTACATCTAAACAGGTTACTCTTAAGAAAGTTGTAACAAGCAGAAGTAACTCGGTTCCTTGTAATAATGGGACATCTTACTGACACTGCGAGTTTTTTCATGCTCTTTCTTTTTACTTCTTCCACTCTTTATTTAAAAACTTGCAGCCTCCACTGTTTTACTGCAAAAACTGTTTGTAAAGCAAGAATTGTGCTGATCACATCAAAACTCATTAATATAACTTGTTTTTCCATTATTAGCACCATCTGAGCCTGTTGAAAGCCTTAACCAGGGCTTTAATTTTTCCACAGAGAGCTTTAAATTAATTAGTGGTTTACATGCTAACAAAGAATCTGATACATTCATAAATCAATCTAATGCAGAAGGATTACCGGAGGGTGGAAACCTATTCAGTGGGGACCTCACATTCACTTAACATGGTGGGTTTTCAACAAAAGGGTGCAGGTGTGGAATAGACGGGTACCGGGAAGAGCCCATGATAATCACTTTGCATCACTTAAAAACGCAGCAGGACACACAGTAAATCAGAGCCTAGGGCCCACCCTAAGTGAATCCCATGTAGATATAAAAGGCAATATCATCCCACTTTAACCTTCACAGTTAAATTGCCAGAGTGGTACAATTTCTTTTATGTAGGTTACAGGCCACTGAACTAATGGAAAATAGAGTCAAATCAAAGGACTTGGATGGGAAGCACAAACTAACTAAACTGTGTGACATGGATATAAATATAGGTATCAAATAAAAAAAGGTAACATTTGTTTCTAACTATTAACTTAATCCATGTTGTGAAAACATGATACAACTGTGTATACTTTTGGCTCACTTTAGGCTTTTAAACTAGTTTCTGCTAACACAATACTTACTCTGCCTTGAGAACTCTACTATGTAACTGTAGCTGCATTTTTCTTATATTTTTTCTAACTCAGCACTGTTCACTGTTAAGAAAACTTCACCAAAATGAACATTTTTCCTGGTCATGTTTTGTGTCCAAAGGTCTAAAGTCATGGACTTTAAAAATAAAAAATACTTTGATGACTAAAGCAGTTTTCAGTCTTTACTGTGTTTTGAAATAAACTTGTGATCTGCTTTGAAAGCTGCCTATTTTAATAATGGGATCTCTGTCACCACAGACACCTGCACAGTCCCCATCAAATGCAGTAAGAATTGTACACAGGCAAACTGATTGTCTCCTTTTTCCTTAAAAAATGGTAAAATATCCTTGGTGAGTCAGAAGAGACATGACTGAGAAAATCGTGAATATGCACACTGTGAAATTAAAGACTGTGAGTGACAGGAAGAGCCAAACAGCAATCCTGGATCAGCGCTGCTTAAACTTTCAGGAGATGGACTGGCAGTAAGTAATTCTGCATTTTGATAATAGATAATCAATATTTACTGATGGTAGCTCATAAAATAAAGAAACCTGAGCAATTGTCAGGTATTCAGTCTGAATTATTCAGTTCTCCTAACTAAAATAAAGCATAAATACATAATCAGTCCTACCTATGAGGGATCAGATTTTCTGTACAACCATATGGAAGAAACATATGACAGATTATTTGTATATTTTTGATAATGAATATTCATTCAAAATGAAGTGTCTTCACTTCATCTTCTATAGTACCTTCCAGTAACAAATTAGTCATGAAAAGCATTACTCTGGGACATATTAAAAGCCCATCATTTTGGGGAGCACTGTGATGCCCACACACTGCTACCCCACACAGCACACACTGCCTGATCTCCAGCTTCAGCTGAAGTGTCCTCAGAAAAACATCTCCTCATCAACATGCATTTCATCATTGCTCACCAGATGTTATTCTTACAGATGTACAAATCCATTTTTGAGCAAAGATACCACAACCTAAGTAGTTTCTACAGTGCGTGCTTTGTATTTGTCATTGATTTTACGTGTGTCCACTTGGCTACAGCAGTTCCTGTGATGCTGGGTGAACCCGAGCAGGAACTGCACCACATGTCCTTCCAGAATGCCAGTGACAGGGCAGCGCACACAGGGACAAGGCACACACTCCCTGCTCACTGACCCTGCTCACCCTAAAGATGAGTGCGGTTTACATAATGAGGTCACCTCTTACTCATGACCTACCTGTGACAGCAAAACCCAAACAATGTTGGTTTGTTTTTTTCAAAGAAGCAGGAAACACTAAAGGGTATTAAATGAGGTGCCATCCTGCCAAAGGCTTATGTAATGATTTGCACAGTTCCTGGGATGCAGGGCAGCAGTGTGGCAGCACAGCTCATTGTGCTTCCTGCCACGCTTCGTGTCTGTGTAAGAAATGCTCTCCACGAGACTGAGCGAGGCACCAAGGATGGCATTAAAGGTGGCATATGCTGCCACCTGCACTCTTCCCAAATGAAGGAGTTAGCAGTTTAACCAGCACAACAAACAAAACCAAAATGGGAGCGAGTCAAGGCAATTAGCTAATTAGTGATTAAATAAAGCTGTGGCCCGTCACTGGCAGGGAGGCTGCGGGGGGTGCCATCCCTTTGATCCACAGGAGCAGCCGGTGACAGCACAGCACAGCCCCTCGGGCGCCCTGTGGCTGGCTGGTACCACTGCCTGGCCTCCTCACTGCCAGCCCCAGGGGACTCCATGCTATTCCTGGGGAATGTCCATCACACCAAAAAGAGCAGCACTTGGGCTCTGGTGCCCTGCGGGCAGGCTGCCGGCAGCCAGCGCTTCTCCGGAGGAAGCCTCGCCGTATGCCAAAAGCCTTCTGGCTCAGAATCCCATGCCCAAATTTTGCCATGAACGTTTGTAAAGTGTTTGCTCCAAACCCAGTGTGTGCTGCCGGCTCCTCGCTTCACACCCTGACAACACAGCTCCGCAACTTACTTCATCCCTGGCCTCCTCTTGTGTTCAAATACTCCAGCCCCTGGACCCTCACTGCTCTCACGCTGCTCACAGCCCAGCCAGTTCATTAATGTTAATTAATGACTGCTGTGTTTCATATTAAAATCACCGGCTCCGAGCTTTGACACACAAAGAACTTTCCATACATCAACTGCTTCAAAGAAATTGTCTCTACAGGCGCACTCACCCTCGGCTCTAGTTGCAGGATAATTGTGGATATTATCCCTCAGGGAAGAGGGGAAAAACTACCCAGCGTTTACCTCGAGGGAAGACTGCACACCCATAGAGCTACCTGTCACCTCCTAATGGGTTACAACACTCAGCCTTCCAACAAATTATACAAAATTACACCCTGGTTAGCAGGGAGATGTGATTAATCCCACAAGCCCATAGGGAAAGGCACAAGAACTGTCTGAAACTCCACGGATGAGACCATGAGGTTGGTATATATACCAAAAGCCTTACTAGCTCTAGAAGGTTAATCAGTATTGCTCATTTCATAAAGTTCTGGATTATCCCACTAAGTATATTTTACACTCAATATATTATAATATTGCTATGCCTCCAAGGGAATGCTAGTTTAAAAAAATTAAAGGAAATATTTCAAATAGAGTAAACAGCTCTTCCCAGATTTTGACATTTATTTACACTGAAAACTGAAATGCAGTTGCAAATCCAATGCCTGATCTTTGCCATTCTTCCTCAGGCAAAATTCCTCCCGGAGGCAGCAGGAGTTTTATCTCAGTCAAAAGACTCTTGGATTGCAACTTAACCTGATAAAAATTTGTTCCTCAGTTCCTCCAGGACTTCTGTGCCCATGCACACGCATTACCCACTGGCCAGGCTTCCCGACTGCTTAAACCCCATCTCAAAATCTTCTCATGGCCAACAAAGCCTTGCCACAGACCCAGGGCAGGCACATCGGGGTGGTGTTGGGATGGGAGAGGGCAGAGACTCCCACAGCCAAGCTGGGCACGCAGCAGGGGCTCAGGGCACGTCAGCTATACCTGCTTGAGCAATCCCTACTCATCTCCTTTCCTTCTCTACAAGGCATTCAGAGCCCATTCAGAGCCCCTGTCCCAGCAGAGACCCCATGAGGCACTCCCAGATCTACAGAGCCAGGTGGGGCCATGATAAGAGCAATAGATTCAGAGCTGCTTTTTCCTTACTTAAGTAAGGAGACTTACTTAGGTCCCTCCAAATCTGACTTCATTGTATTAATCACTAAGGATTTATAAAATGCACTCACTGGAGGCAGGTGGGATTTTAAGGACCCTGCATCATCCAGCTCACGGAGCATCCACTCCCAGAGACTTTCTACAGCTGCTCCCCACTAAGTTAAACAAACTTTGGACTAAATTCTTTTACAACCAACTATGCAACTCACTCAGATCAGTAGCAGTTCCATGAGTATGTTCAAGGGGGCTTGTTTGGATTTTAAGGTTTTTGAATGGGTCTGCTTTATCCCATGGAAGCTTAAGACATTTTATCTTAAGACAGGGACATACAAACTCCTTAACAGATGGGAACAGTTCCTTAGATATTAAGTAATTAAGCACACTCAGCACATGTTGGCTCCTAACGAAAATTGTTTTGAAGAGATAAGGCACTCTATAAATTGAGGTTTGCGGTTAACCAAAAATCTGCCATTTCATCTTTTGCTCACAAGGCTAATCTCATGAATTGCTACATGAAAAATGAAGATACAAGAAGCATTACATGATTTACAAAATTGTCAGATTGAGGGGTTTTTTTAAGCTTTCATGCTTGTGTTCTTCCATTTTTTCTGTAGTTGGCTAAGATTTAATAGGCAAATAAATCTACTACATTTTGATCCGAAATTGCATTTCTGTGCTTGCCTTGCATCCAGTTCCAGTAAGGAACATCAGCAGGAGAAAGAAACAGCTTTTCTCTACCATGGTTTTTCCAAGGAAGCCAAGGTAGAGCCTTGAGTTTCCTCACATTTATGAATACATCATTGGCATCTCTTTGCTATGTCCAGGACAGCCTTAGTGCTCCAGTGACCACCTTCAGCAAGACCAAACATACACGGCCTGAGGCAGTAAGACAAGAATTGCAAAGCAGCAAGTAGCTGCAGCTTACCATGGCTCCTTCACTCTTACTCTGTGCAACTTCTCGCTGCAGCCGAGCCACAGACAGCTTCTCCCTGCGGAAAGGAAAGCGTGTGAATAGCGGTTCATTTTTTCCCATCGGAGAGAACGCAGCGCTTCCCCATCGGGATGGCATTCCTGCACATCACTGGGGTAACCCTCCTGGCAGGCCCTGCTCTCCTCCCCATGTTTCCCTGCAATATTTAGTGGCTGCATTATTGTTTCATTTTGTGACAGTTTGACAGAGCTGTCAATAAATCAACTGAATCCAAACACCATTTGCTCCATTCAAACAACAAAGTAGCTCATCATGCCGGCGATATGGAAACAGACTGTGCAAATCAGATTGTATTATTTATTTCCCTATAGCCTTGCACATCAGCTTTATTCTGCACCATATTACATAAGCCAGAAGGCTGTTAGATCATCAATAAATACACAAATAAAATGGAAATTAAAACAATCTATTCTATACCTAAACATACTGTGCTGCGTTTTGCAACTACTGAATTTTTAGATTTTTTTTTTTAATTAACCTTTTTTCATACAAGATCCTTATCCAAATGTTTGGCTCAACTCAACTAACAATTAATTTGCTTAATTAAGGATTTGGCAATCACAACACACTTTCAAGTACACTGAAAAGTTGTAAGAGAGGAATGAAAAGTAGGGTTTAGCATACATAGAAAAGGAAAGATGTTTTCGCAGTGTATGGACTAGGGAAACATAGAACATACCAAGTATGTGAACTGCTAGTCAGTGGAAGGTAGCACAGGAACTGACAACTGCAGGAGGGGTACAGGAAGACAGGAATTTGCTCTGGAAGCTCAGCAAAGCAGAAGATACTTTGGGGAACAAATAGGACTTAAGCAACCTACCATAATATAAAAAGGATCTACCATAAAATTTGAAATGTCATTATTCTACTGGGACTTACTGGAAAGAAAGACCTGAACCATCCCAGTGCAGCATCCTGGCACTTAACCTGGGATGTATAACATTTTTGCCTGCTCAGTGACTGGTCAGTGCCAATGCAAAGGTGTCAGTGGCTCAGGCCTGGTGACATGACCCTGGGTCAGAAAGCATTTACTCGAGGGCTGGCAGGACCAGTCTTGTGCTGCTGACGACAGGCTCCAGCCATGAGCCCACTGGCCGTGCCATCGGACTTGGATGAGTCAAAGAAAACCTCCCTGCTCTGCACTGCAGGGAAGTCCCAAGTCTTCAAATCACACTGCCACGTCTCCCAGTTCTTGCAGGAAAGAAGAGCAGGGGCTGGAAACTGTCTCACAAAAACCCACACAGGTGCCAAGCCATGGCAGAAGGACAACTCTGTAACTGCTCCTGTCGTTGACTGGGTCACTCTCATTCAGCATGTAAAACTAACTGTTCTACAATATCTTATTCCCAAGCTTGCAAAAAAAACCCCCAAAAACACACAACCCTTTAAACCATTTCTCAGGAACCATTCCTGCCAAGGAAGGTCTGTACATACCTGCCTAATTACTGCAGAATGACAGCGCTCCTGTCACTCAAGCCACAGCTGAACATATGCCTGGGTCACTGAACCAGTCCCCCCTCCCCATTTCAATAGATGTGGTATTTAAGTTAAGTCTCCCTAATGGTCACCTGCCCCCTCGTGCTTGCTAAACCCTCACAACAATCCCTATGCAGCCAGCAAAGCCTGGTTATCACGTTAACCCCAGGCATTTCTAATACTGCGATTTGCAAACAGGTATGATGTTGAAACCACTTAATACTGGCAAAAGTTGAAGATGATACAGCCACAGCCCTGTAGAGGTTGCATTTGCGTTCTCCAGCACGATATCAAGATCTTCATTTGCTCGTGTGAAAAATTATGGAAAACTGAGAAATGGCATTAGTACAGCATTGAACAGCTTAACACAGGTATCCTAAAAGCAGCTTCTATCAGACACATACCACCCTCCCTCTTCCTTGGTCAGATACTATCACAGGCAAATTACAAAATTGGTTAATCCTATTTTAAGGATTTAGTTCATCTGCTGGAAATAGCCCCTCGCATTTTTGCACTGCTTCAGTGCCCTAATATGTTCTAGTGGAAAAAGCAAGTATTCCCTTTGAGGAGGTTTTGACCTTTTAATTGCAACCCAAATGCCTAAAGATATTTTATGAGAAAATATGTGGGGGGTGAGGAGAGAATAAACAAGCAAAACCTCCCCTCACTCCACTCCTCCATACACTTCCTGCCACTGGTCTGGAGAGATTTATTTAGTTATGCCTCCTACATCAGGAATACTCCTACTTCCCTCTCTCCATGTTACCTCCAATATGGAATTAGTTTCACATTTCTGGAATTTTATTAGAGTAAACTCCACTCGCACAGAGGGCTCCTCCTAACGATGCCAGGCTTCCTTCTCTGGATGAGGATCCTGGCTGAGGCTCAGAAAGGGTTTCCTTAGCAATTTTCCCAGTGAAGGAGAGCAAAGACTGGCATTCTCGTACTATGTTTATAACATTGCTGATATTAGGAACAAAACCACTTTTCAATAGCAGAAAATGAAAGAAACCTGACTATCATGAAGGAGAAAAAAAATCCGCCATAGTGGATTTGAAGAAATCAAACTCTGAGCTCCTGCTTCATCCCTCCCACGTGCAATGCCCAGGTGAAGGAGCTGTGCACTCAGCCAGACCCACGCAGATGGTTGCCTTCCTCTGGGCAGGACGTGCAGCAGAGGCTCAGCGTGCCTGTGGACCACAGTCATCCCTGAGACTACTCCAGGGAGCTTCATTTGTGATGCCCTTGGCCCATCGCCCACACTCAGCCATTTCCCACTACCTCTACATAAACATACACCGGTGTAATGGGCAAGAAATGTGGTCAGAATCCTGTTACAAGCCAACAGCATTTAACACCAATTTGCAGCGCTGGAAGTTTTCGTATAAGATACGTGACAAGAGAGAACTTGTCATGCTCCATGTCTAAGCAGACCAAATAAACCCTTTGGTCACTATCCACCATCTCAGTCAGTTCTTATTAAGGCAACAACTTCAGCGACTTCTCAGCCCCAATTTTTAACATGGTGTTAAAATTGAATAAGCATTTTACTATAATAATAAGCTTTTAGCTGCTTTAGCCTTTCAGATATTTCAAATGCAAAGAACATTTGACATGCAGCTTCAAAGTTAATCCTGTTCTTTTAATCTTTGCTTTTAAATAAGAAAAAACAGTAGCATTATTTTGTTGCTATGTAGTTTTGTTTATTTTTAATCAAGCATGTTTCATCGCTATAGCTTGATTAATTAACAAAGTTAATTAGCAACTGCAGCCAACCTGGAAGGAAACAAAATCTTCTCCAAGGATTTAAAAAATTAAAACATGTTCATTGAGAAGTGCTCATATTCGCTTTTGAAAAACCTCCAAATGATAAAAGGTTTACAAAAATGCTCTTTGAAAGCACAGTTTATGCTCTTAAGTTTGCATATTTGTATTGTAAGTGGCAAAATTCCCAGCCAAGGACTTTGCAAAGGAATAATTACAGGAGCCAAACAAGGATTCAATTATATCCTTTCCAGATGGAAGCAAGCACACAAGTAGTCACTGTGTGGATGGAAGAAAGATACATTTCAAGCCTCAGTATCGCTAGTAGAGATTGCAGTAGCTTGTTCTAAAAAACAACAGTTTGAGGAAAGCCCATTTAGTTCAAGAAAAACATAAATGTGCTAAATAATTCTGCAGATTCACAACTCTCCTAAAGTAAATTTTCTCCTCTCTCGTTTCCCATCACAGGCCCATACCTATCCCCTAATTCTGAAAAATGCTGATTGTGTTCCTGATACGGTAAAAGATATCATCAGATCAACCACCACAATAAAAACTACACGGGATACATGAAAGACTCCATTTTTCTTTTTTGTTCTTCTTTGTATTGCTACTTTACATCGATACAAAAAATCCAAAAGCTCTAGCAGTGAACTTCAGCTTCCCAAATTTTGATTTTTGTTTTTATTTTGAAACTTCAGATTCAGAAAGTCTTGCTTCTCCACCTAACACAGTAAGGTGTTACTTAAAATAGCCTCTGGATAAAGTTAAAATATGAAGCTCCATGAGTTACTTGGAAGAGAAGGTCTCTATCCCAACTTGACATTGCCCTTTCCTGTCCTGATCACAACGGCAGCCCCACACCCTGCCAGTGTGCATTGACAGGTCTTGTATTTTCAGCACTGATACTTGAAGATTTCAAACTTTTCCCATTTTCTCTTTCCTAAGTAAATTATTACTCCTCTACTGAAGGAATGAATGTGTACAAAATTTAACAGGTATGACAGGTCCTAAGTTACTCATCTGTTTCTCTAGTCACCTTTTTATTTCCAAGAACAGGAAAGCGTTTTCTACATGTTTCATCCTGTCTTGGAAACTTTCACTCTGAAGCGATTTCATTTAGAAATGGTCAGTTCTGCACCATAAAGTGAAGCTCAGCTTTTTTTGTCATTTTATAACTTTCTCTATTTGTAAAGCAGAAAATCCCACATGACCCACTGACAAAGTCAAGCTTTCAAAAGACATGAATATTTGTTTTATTATTGGTAACTGTGGCCAAGCGGAGTGAGCAACTTACATGCCAGCAAGTCCTTCTGTGCTATTTCCGAGAAGAGAAATTCCAACCAAGTTTCCACTCTGTGCTATTGCTGTGAGATTCAGAAGGTGAATAAATACTTTGTTCTCCCAGGGAAAAAGCAAACAGAAAAATGACAGAGACTCAGAACCTGAATTTGCAAGGCCTCCCAAACCACCGTGCTTTGTAACCACCCCTTGTTTATCACCTATCAAAATTATTTCTCCTTAACTTTTTTCCCCCTTATGTTGTACTTGCAGCCACAGCATTGTTTTTCAAATGAACCAGAAAAAAACACAACTAAAGCCCATTAAACACGGATTAAACATAGCGTAGTGCTAACAACTGACCTAGGGGCAAGGAGCTAGTTTGTGCAGAGAGGCACAGGCCCAGCTTCCTTCAACTCTTGGTTTTCCGGGGAGGGTTTCCCATCTGAATGCTGACCAGGCTTGACCTCATCGAGT